CTTATAATTGCTTTCTCTTTCTGAGTACACCTTTAATGCACCAAGAATAATAAGATCAAAGTAGAAGAATCAAGAACAATCTTAGCCAGAGACCATATTTAACCGTCAATATCATCAAACACAAGGTTTCAAATAAACTAGTATTTCTGACTAAGATAGACGACATCACTTCCCAATGGCAAAAAGCACATAATTCTCTAGAATCTGCATCTTACACTCGAAGTACAAGATGTTACTTCGTTACAAGATATTAGTTCCAAAAAATATTCCAGGACAGATCAAGCTTGATGTCAAGTAGGTTTTAGCAACTTTTGGACGGCAAAGAAAAACTTCCACCTCACCTATTCTAGCATAAACCCTGGCTTAGAAAACTTTTGCCATCAGGAGCATCAGCACGTTGAGCTCGAAAAGTTATATTGTACGATACATAACCAGCAAAATGGCATCCACCACACGGTCACCCGCTCAATCTCCGAGAACTGATATCCAGGTTGCTTCTGCAAGAGATATCAAGTTTGAACTTTAGAAACTCATCAACAACAAAAAAGAACGAAAAAAAAAGCATGCTTAAATTAGATAAAGAAACACACAGAAAAAAAAAAAGGAAGGGAAACTAAATTTACCTCCGCCAGGGCCCTTTTAGCCAAATCGATGAGCTTTTGAAATCCCTTGAACATTTTTTTCCCCACGAGGTTATGTTTAAAACCAAAAAATTTGAGTAAATCCGCAACCAATTTGATCCTTAGCGAGAATAAAAGATTTAATCACTAAGTTATGGAGCAAAAGTTCTTCATGTTACTTTACAAATACCTTAAAGAATTTTTCTTAATCAATCCCAAGCACCAAGCATGTTGTTAGGCACCTTATAATCTTCTTTACTACTGTTTTTCATTCATATGCTAGCAATGCATCTTGCACAATGAAAACATACTTCTTTTTTTTTAAAAAAAAAGTTGAATAAGGGCTTGTTTGATAATCCTAATTAATGCTGAAAATTAATTTATTTAGTGATTTTTGAATTTGTATACACTCTTACTGAAACAAATGCATCCAATAAATACTTGGGTTGGAGCTATTGTTGGTGCTATTATGCCTCTTGTTGGGTAGTTTTCCCAGTACACCTTTGGTTCTAATTATTGTTTCATTTTTCTTCATTTTATGGGCTGACGTTGTTGACAATTTTTTTTCCTTTGTTGGAGAAGTCTTCTTTTCATTAGATTAGAACTGACTTCTTTTCTATTATAATGTTTTCTTCTTCTTGTTTCTGTGGTTTTGTTGGGGGTGAGATTTTTTTTTTTTTTTTTAGTTTTTTTTGGGGGAAGGGGGGGGAGGGATTGTGCTGAATAGACTGGTCCAAAAGGTTGCATTCCAATTTTGAACTGCATGGGTAACCAAGAGGGAAGACAGAACTTTGAATCAGGTGTTAATATACCGATGTTGTGGCTGGTCTAGGACACAATGTTGTGTGAAGAGTTGATATTTACAGGTCCTACACTGGTAAAAATTCCTTTGGACTATGTGACCATTGAAGGACATAAGAATATATGTTGTTGTATGCTTGTTGCTTGCTTCTTTCAGGATGAGTTGGTCAAAAAGAATTTAATAAAACAATGTTAAATGAATTAGAACAGTAAATACTGAATATGCCACATGTTTCTGCTCTAGAATTTGAAGAAGTTTCACATATTGCAGTACCTCCTTTCAGTAGACATCTACAATTTCTATGGAAAAACCTAGTAGCAGAAGATAGGTCATCGATTTTACTGGGAAACAACAGAAACCCAGTCTGGGATCTTGTAGGTTCCCAAGTCAAGTGTTATCCTTTCAGAGTTTCAAGGTGACCATTGAACGCCTGTGTCATACTTTAGGTCAAAATTGATGAGGTTGATTGCTTCTTAGTGGACAGTTTCTTTGATACTTGCAAACTGAATTATTCTAAGGGTTAATCACATTTTATCCCCTTAAAGAATATTCTATTTCTCAGTTTACCTCCAACTTTTAATTTTGCTCACTTAACCCCCTTTAGGACAAAATTGCCCTTGCAATATTTTGACTTTTCATTTACTTGTTTTCCTTTCTTTTATTTCTTTTTCTCTTTCTTGTTTATTTAATTCTTCCTCTTTCCCACAAAAATCTTCACCTTAATGATTGAAATTAAAAAAAAGGAATTGCAGAGATCTATCTTCTCCTTAAATGATTAAAAAAATATTCAAATCACTTTCCTAAAATACAATTTTTTTAACCTTTCAATTATTTTAATTTTGGATTTTCCTCTTTCCTTTCAAATTTCTCATTTTATTTCCAAGAAAATATCTTAAGATGAAATTGTGACCTGATTAATAATCATCAATTGAAATTTGTGACACATGACATCATACAAAAAATCAAAATTAGTTTTTGATGCCTTTTAAACCTTCACTCAGAAATATGCAATTACAAACTCAAAACAAAAATTTTCGTTGAAATGAAATTTCTATTGGGAAGGATGAAAGAGAGAAGAAAGAGAAAAAGAAATAAAAGAAAGGAAAACAATTTCATCTTATGATATTTTCTTGAGAATAAAATGATAAACTAGAAAGGAAAGAAGAAAATCCAAAATTAAAAGAATTGATAGGCTAAAAAAATTGTATTTTAGAAAAGTGATTGAATATTTTTTTTAATCATTTAAGGAGAAGATAGATCTCTGCAATTTCTCTTTTTTAATTTCAATCATTAAGGTGAAGATTTTTGTGGGAAAGAGGAAGAATTAAATAAAGAAGAAAGAGAAAAAGAAATAAAAGAAAGGAAAACAAGGTAAATGAAAAGTCAAAATAATGCAAGGGCAATTTTGTCCTAAAGGAGGTTAAATGAGCAAAATTAAAGGTTATGGGGTAAACTGAAAAATGGGGTATTCTTTAAGGGGATAAAATGTGATTAACCCTTATTCTAATGTAGTAGAGTTATGATTGATTTATTATGTGAATGTTCTGGTATTTACATTTGTTTTTCCTCTTGCTGAAGTCTTGCTATGTACTACCTTAATTTGGGGCCAAATGTATGGATCTCTCTCTCTCTCTCTCTCTCTCTATATATATATGTATGTATATATGTATGTATTTATATATGTGTGTGTATCTCTGTGTCTGTGTCTGCATGTGTGTGGGTGGATGGTTGGGTGTGTGTTTGTGTACAAGCATGCTATATTCCGTCAGTAATTTTGGTTGCAGTGCCAAGAGTACAGAATAAATACATACATACATGTGTGTGTGTGTCTCTGTGTGTGTAGGTGGATGGTGTGTGTGTGTACAAGCATGCTGTATCCTGTCCGTAATTTTGGTTGTGGCATGAATAGTGCATAATAATTACTTGATGATGCAATATTAAAGGGACACATTGACATGAGAATTTGATATCTTAGATTGTTGAGCTGGCACTTTAGGCACGATGAAATTAAAGGAAAGCCATCTTTTCATGTTTCATTGTCCCTTGTGCTAGCCATTGAGTTCAATGATATAGTCATAAGTTGATTTTTCTATGGGTTTGTGTTATATGTTTGATGCATCGGATTAACTTTTTGATTCATAAATTTTGGTGGACAGCCATCCGCTGGTGAGGTTTCACTTGTTGCTATGATTTTCCCTGCCGCTTTATATTTTTGGCAAATACCCCATTTCGTGACCCTGGCATACTTGTGCCACAAAGACTGCAGATGGAGGGTTTGTATATAGGGTATGCAGATTGATATGTAATGTTGCACCAAAAAATTTTGTTGATTGAAATATTCTTAGCTAAAATTGACTTAAAACTTGTACAGTTTTTTCAGAATTCAAATATATGAAACAGTCACCAGAAAAATGTGTTCAATTGAATACTGTAAAGTACATCTGCTTCAAAACTCGAGTCTTCTTATCCTAGTTTTTTGTATCTTTACTTAGAACCTTTGTATTTGTAGCATATGGTTGTAAGAGTGTCTGTTAAACAAATGGAAACATGTGGATGTTTTTGGATGTTGATATTTGGTGAGAGTATAGATAAGTTCATGGACAATTCTCGGCATTCAGCTTTCCGTTGTTATCCTTATTCGTTGTCATTTGTGGTGTGCCATCAGGCTTAGAATGCTCTCTTTCTGATGCTTCTGCTCACTGAACAGCCATGGTTGCTTTAAGGAAGTGCCTGTATCTGCGTCCACTGGGTTATCTAGCCTATGACTCTGAGTGACTGAGTTCATAGCAAGATTTGCCTAAATTCTTTGATTCTCAAGTTACATATTTGTCACTTTGTTTAATTTAGTCTATTGTGATTGCTTTCTGCTCCTTTGGGAGCTCAGATGGGTGGGCTGGTTATTGCTTTTCTTGGACATGAACTAGAGCTAATCTTGACGCTTAGTGTGATTAAATTGCAGGGGGCATAACTTCTGGCTGGTTCTGTGTTGAGGCGACAATCCTTGCTCTAGCAATCAGTGGTACTGTCATGTCTTTCTGCATTGATCGCATCACCATGAGTGCCAGGAGGATGTTCCATGCTAGCCTTTTGTATCTCCCAGTGTTTATGTCTAGGCTTCTGTTTTGCAGCCAACAGGGTAACCAACAGTGCCAAACAACACAAAATCTACTAGAGTCTCTTCGTCTTTCATCATCCCCAGCACTGCTGCTTGATGAGATTGAACATGTCAAAGAGCAGCGGCATAAGGTTAAAAGTACAAGTATGGGTGCACAAGGTCCACCAGTGGCTTGTGCTTCCTTTGCTCCATTCCCTTTTTTAACCGGCTCCTACTTATGCTACACTTTCAGAACGAGTTTATAACGAGCCTGTGCCTTTTTTTCTCTGCATTTTTTTTGGTACAGTTCATGTTTGCTGCCTTCCGTTATTTGATAAGGTTAATTTTCGCTATTACCTTATCAAATGTGGATTAATTATCAGATTCTACTCATTTTTGGCATTGGTGCTTATTGCAGGGAGTTGGAGCAAAATGGGATAAATAGGTGCAAATTTCACACTACAAATGCTGTCAACATTATAAGTTGCAAAATAGGTGCAAAATCTTTATTTACATTCAAAGCACAAAAGTAACAGGATGAAAGTTGAAGACATCATCAGCCAAAGACTACATTAAACTGTCAACATTATAAAACACATGACTTCAAAGCATCTAAGGTTATAAAAGTATTCACTAAGTCCAGTTCAAGACTTCATATTCTAGAAGTTCAAAAGGAACAAGACTTTCAATTCTTGCTAAACACCAGCAAACTCAGTCTCATTAGGAAATGTGAAATGCCTGATTAATTTCATGCTGATCTTTCCATAACCAGAACAGCCCCAAGTTTCTCCATGCGTGTTCTTCACAAGGAAGAACAACTCTCCCTCCTCCACTCCAATGCCAACAACTTGAACACAATGGGGCTTGACCTTTTTGTCCCTGAACATTTGGAGCTCATAAACAGTGGGTCCCTTGTAAATTCCCTGTTCAGAAACAAAACAAAATTAAACGTATTATTCAGTATATGAGACAGTCATATACATCACAATAAGAGATTATTTTCACAACATACATCTCTATGCTTGTACTTAACAAAACTTGGATAACCATCCACCAAACCAACAACAGGCTGCTCCCTTATGATATGTAGGAGTGACCTGCTGAAGTCCATCAAGGAAAACCTCCGAACATAAAGTTTTTCGGTCTACAAATGGGAATGGGAAAAAAAGTATAAGTGTCAGGAATTTGAAGACCAAGTAATCAACTATTATATTAATATCTGGATTTTTGCATTAAACAAACAAATACTAATACTAAACTAAAAGAATTATGAATATTCAGTTAATCTCTAGATTTTTTAATTGAACAAACAAATTCATACAGCCTCAAGAGCTGTATCCGGAATGACTGGAATCGGACTCCTCTTCCCCATATACGGATAGACTTTATCCGTGTACACGCCATATCGCTTCATGTACTCGAATGTGGCTTTCATTGAAGCACCTGACATGCCAAAACCATCAATTTCCTCCCTTGCTAAATTCATCTTTTCATGAACATGATCTACAATCTCCTGGCTGGACAAAGGTATTGGGAATTCTGACTTTCCATCCAAACAGTGTTTTTCCGAAACTACTGCAGTCGCATTGAGAGCAGCACAAGATGCTGAAATGAAAAACCAAAAAAATGGAACTGAGGTTTGATGACTTATAAATAAATAACTAACTGACAATCAAGAACTTACATGCCAGATCTTGATCTTGCACAGGAGTAATAGTGTGAGGACTATCATCATAGCACGTGTGAGTAACCTATTTATTAAAAACATATCCAAACAAGCCTGTTTGATGATAGGGACATGAAAACAAGCAAACAAGAAACAAGCAAACAAGATAGGGACATGAAAACAAGCAAACTAAGAATGCACTTGACATACATTTTTAAAAAAGCTACTAGAAAATATTGAAATCTTTCTCTTTTTCGCTCCAGCGAATGGATCATCATCAGCATCAGACAGCTTTCTTTTGCTCATAAATGGATTAGGCTTGGCCATCAGCAAAAACCTGCGAAAGATACTAGCGGAAGAGGCTATTGTTTCACATCAAAAATTCAATAGCAACATTAATCTAACCAGTCCTAAAAGGGGAACAAGTAGTGTGGTCTTCACACCACATGAACTAGTATTTATGGGGAACAAGGACCTATACTTTTAAGAATAAAACTTTTTTGTCGATGTCCAATAGTTTAAGAATATTAACAAGCCTCAACTTTCGGAATTTCCTACACTAGCCATCCTTCTACAAAATGTTTCTAAGCAGACAAGACAAAATGCAATTCCTTTTCCTTTTTCTAAGTTTGGATGGCTGACACTGAGTGGTCCAATCCATAAGTATTAAATTTCAGAATTCAAAAGTTATGTATTCTGAACTATCCCATGCCTGATTTATTAATATGATGTTTCAGTATTGCAATATCCAGCCGTTCATGTATACTTAAACCTCAAAATCCAACCAAGATTGAGGATTATTCACATGTAAGCGTGTACAAGTAACATATTCTTACAAATTTGACCGGGTCAATGCAAATTCATTACTTACCTTAAACTTGTAAATTCATGTATGTTCAGCTGATACGTTCTTTTGCCTTATGGATGAGCATAATTCCTAAGATAATGAGACATTCCTAGAGAGACCTGTTTGTTATGAAATAATATTTTAAAGGCAGGTGCTGTTGGAATTTTACAATGTAGCAAGTCTTTCTGAACATTGTTCTTTGCTGAAGCTTTGAAATGGAATCTCTTTAGCAACAAAGCTTTATTAGAGCAAGGAAAGAGATTAAATCACCACAAGGCCCATAAAATCAATGTCAACAAATTAAGAGCAGCAGAGAAATGTAAAGAACGAAAAAGTGAAGTAGGAGCAAGAGGACATTTCAGCAGTCAAAGGCAGATAATACCTACAAAAACTGAACAAGTCCCAATACCTGGTAAAAAGCTTTCAGTGATTTAGCATAAGCAATTTCGGCAGGAGAGAAAGTAATGCTTCTTCAAGACTTTAAAATCATAAATAACTAGAGGTTTAAGCTGGTGGAAACACACTATGAACTAAAAATTATACAGAGAAGATATTACCTTCAAAGAAAAGTCGCCGGTCGAGCAGAGGTGTTGAAGGAAATGGATCTAGAAAATGGGCTTGAGTATAAATCCTAAAGAAGTAAATGGATCTAGAAAATAAAGGTGGCAATTTGTCCCAAACCCCAATGGGCTACTCATGTCAAAAGGATTTCCTTTAGGCGAGATGGGTATTGTAATTTGATATTGGGTTTAAAATGAAATGCATCCCAATTGTACCCATTATTTGATGAAAAATGTTGGGAAATACTTAGGTATCCATTGGGCCCAAATATCTTCCCAAAAAAATCATTTATGCAAAAATTCATCTCTGATTTTTTTTCACTTCCATTTTCTTTCTTTTCCTTTCTTCACTTTCCTACAAAAGAAAACCAATTAAGTAAAAATGATTTTATTTAAACAACTTAAAAAAATAAAGATAACAATAAAAATAAAATGAATTGATAAAATTTTGAAGTCTACAATAATCAATGTTTTACTAACAACTGTTGGCACCCTTTATGTTGATTTTATGCTAATTGTTGAACTATCTACATAGATTTCTATATGCAACCCTGTTATCAATTTTTAATCAACTTCTTCGCTTCTGTGCTAGCTTTATTCGGCATTTAATGTGAATTTTTTTTGTATCAAATTTTGGAAATTTTAAGAATGTCAGTTAGAATGAATTTGGTGTTAAAAAATCTTGTTTCTAGTCCTTGTGTCAGACAACATTATGGGTAAGGTTGGAATATGGTTGTATATCTATCTTTTCCTTTATTTGTTAATCCAATTTTTGGTTTAATCCAGGGAAAAGATATGTTCATTCTTACCAAAATATTGTGTCTTTTTAAAGTAACTGTTGATCGTTTTAGAGTGTAAATGAATTCAGGAAAATATAAATTCATAATAAGATCAAAAGAAATTTAACAAATAAAAATATTAAAGTTATATAAAAAATAAAAAAGAATTAAAGGAAAAAAATATAGAAAATAGATTTGGGTATTGGGCGAGATCAATCTAAACTCATCCCAAAGTGATCCCGCCCAAATTAGTCTCAAAACACATATGGGTAAGGTTAAATCCAAACCCATATGATTTGGTTCCATTTCGAACCCAAGTAAGTCCCGCCTATTTTGCCACCTCTACTAGGAAAGTATAAATCCGAATAATAAGGGTTCATCTTTGTAATCTTTGGACCCTGTCATTTAGACCCAAAGTCCATATGAGGTTAGGTCCCATTCACCACAGACTAGTTGGGCTATATCAACAAGTCCTTGGGTGCGAAAGCATTCCAGTTGAAACATTTAGTAGGGCCGTAGTAAGCTAAATAATTGTTACCTACTGAAGTCTGGTAGACAATCGATGGGAATTAGAGTAAGCCACCTAATGGAGTGGTGACATGCTCTGGCCCCAGAATGTGAAAATCTTCCTCTCATCCTACTTTTTTAACTGGAAAGAAAAAATAATTAACCACCAAACTGAAAAGGAATGGAAGAAAACGTTTTTGTTATCCCATTGCATAATTCTAAGCCTTCTAGGCGACCAAAAGAAAGGAAGTGGGACAACACCGGGGCACAATGCGTGGTGAAATGTCTAGATGTGCCCTACCCAATGTGTATAATCAGTTTTTTATATTTTTCCAACAACGTGTGTACATTTGCAATATAACAAATTAGCAGTTGCAAGGACGAAATCATTCAAATTACGTACATTCATATTTCTATAATTGAAGCCATAGGATTTGAATCACATGAATGCACACGAAAGCTGACAAGAAATTATAGATAGAAATTTTCTGTTATTTTGGATCAATGATATATTTTGTCCAAAAATTATCTATCATAACATTTATAACTATTTGGCAATCAAGTTTTTTGCCAAGTTTGTCTGCTACAAGTTTTTACAAACTTTAACTACAATAACTTCAAAAAGTTTCTCAAAAATTTTAAATTATACATTTCAAAATATTCAAAAATTTACACACTTCAAAAAATTTTTTAAAAACTTCTACAGTAAGCTACAGTAAAGTTTTAGACAAACACTTAAAAAACTCACTTGCCAGACATAGCCATAGTTAAATGGACCAAACCAGCCAGATTATGTACAGTTAATTGAAGCCACAGTGTTTGAATCGAATGAATGCACATGAAAGCTGACATGAATTAGAGAACACAAGAAAATACAGAGAGAATTTTTCTGTTATTTTGGATCAATGATACATTTTGTCTAAACAAATGTCTATCAAAGATAACAATTACAATATGGTTTCTCATTTCCATGAAGATCATGATCTCAGACATTTTCCTTCATCAATTTGACCTCAACCATTTTCTTTCATCAGTTTAATGATAACATTTTGATGCCATTTATAAGTTGGGGCAGATCATAACCAACCTAAGCCACAGCATTACCGGTGCTAAATCCAATAGAGATAATAACAAATTCAATAGGTCACATTCAAGTAGCATCGGTATATGAGGGAGAAAAAAATGGGGAAAAAAAAAAGAAACGAAAATGGCAATCAGTCCATGAGGTCATGATCTTGCAAATGTTCCCATGAGTAGAGTGTCTTTGTATCCTAAAGACATACTCCATCTAGAAAGGCATAAAATACACAGAAGAATTGCGCACAAGATAGCATAAAGTGGCTTTATCCCGACAAAGGTTTGAAATAGTACATCTTACAATGTGCTGGTTTTGCATATTTCCATGTCTTTGGTTGAACATGTTAAAACCTAAGAACCAATAAATTAAGGTAAGCAGTATCAAAAAATTTTTAAAGCCATGATATTTTATTTATTTTTTTTGTAACTACGGGGTCTTTAAGGTTCAAATTCAGAACTCCAAATCTTGAACTACATTCAGAATTTACTTTTGATCTTTTTAGTTTATTTACAATTTCTCGGATCATCATATAAGCAGGTGAATTTTGAGGTTATAAAAAACTTGTTTCTTTCTTCCCAAAGCCAACCTCCTGTTCAAAATTCATAAAGGACCTTTTCTTTCATAGGCTGAGCCTACACCATGTTAAGTGCTAGTACATACATTCCACTGTACAGAGAAAAATTTGACAAGGCCATACACCTTATACTTTCATCACAAACTATGACAACATTGAGATAACCAATAAAAAAATTTAGCTTTTTGAAAAAGTTGCTAGGGAAGTTTTTGTGACTTTGAATAACAAAAAATTTTTTTGAGGATACACTACCTATACAAAAATGGTTAACGTCACTTAATAATCTCTAAAAGTGTTGGTCTACTCGTCTACGCATCTAGTGGTGTACCCTATCCAGGATTAAAACTGGGTTAATTGCTCCAAGTCCCCACGTCTATTGTTCTCTTCCCCCTGAACTTGTTCTATAGGTACTAAACCCCTATGTGCTTGGTCAAAATTATCCATGTGACCTAAATTGCTTTGTTTTACTTTGATCTAATCCTTTTTCCCTTTTGTCCATTTCTTCCTCTCTTTTCTCCCCCTTCTCAATGTAATAACCGTGCACTTAGTTGTTAAAATTTTTTATAGCACTTAAAACAGAATGTTATACATTGTTATTTAGAAGCAAATTTTACATTTGTACTGTCAAAAACAGGGTCGAGTTTGTAGATCCATTTCAGCTGGAGGATGTGATCCTAGCTAAGCTTGTGAAGTGCCTGCATTAGTCAGTAAAGCTGATTATGCTTGCCATTATCTCATACAAGCAGACAGGACATATTTTTTTCCAGTAATATGATCTGCCTTGACTCCACAAAAGGTCATTAAGCAGAAGAAGGGGGGCAAAAAAAAATAAAAGAATGCCATAACAAAGGAGAAGAACAAATACAACTATTTTTCAAGTAAAGGAGAGAACATTAATGCACTTACCAGCAACTTTTTCCATTGTCATCTGAATCTGAATTTTGGTGGAGTTGAGTGCACATCCACCCCAGTCTGCATCGTCATTCTTCTTCAGACCATACATGCGTCCTTCTCTAGCTCAACCCCAAAATAGCCACCCTCAGAATCTCGCAATCTCTCCATGTTGCACCAAAAAAGCAAACAGGTGGATAGAATTTACCAACTTTATGCCTCTCCAACAAATCCCTACACGAACAAAATCCTTTTGATAGAACAAGGAAAAGAGAAAGGTCTTAAAGGATGGTTTCACAACATGCGCAAATAAAACACCTATACATACATCTCAAAATGTGTTCCGACGTGATGCAGAAGGGATGATACAGAAAGTGCATGCACCCAGAGCAGTTGTGATCACCTGACAGTTCAAGTAAACAGATTTTATAGATGATGTCAAGTCCTCTTCCATTTGATTTTTATCTCTTCTGCCGAAGCCTGTTAATTATATGAAATGAATGTGTACTGATACAGGCTAGATTTAGGAAGGAAGGATTCAGCGGAAAATACCCTGCATCATCCAAAACTGTCGACGGTGCACCAAACACCACAAAGATGGATATGGGTGTTTGGTGCACCATCCATGGTTTCGTAGATATCCTGAAATCTGTTATATGCAGGGTTGCTTGTTTATCAACGTCAACTTCATTCTTTTCTCCAACACATCCATTGGAGCGCTGCTTTAAGTCCTGTTGACAAAGCAAGCAAAAGACAAGGTGTTAAAAAGGAGGAGTTTCACACCTACACAGAGGTATTATAGATCAAAAGAAAACAAAACTCTTAAACCATATGATGCATCAAAGGTGCATCTCTAACCTGCTAAAATAATCGACATAGACTTCAGTTAGAGATCAATATCCATACACATCGATACCTGAAAGCTGTGTTGACCTGCGATCCAGTTGATCCGATCTCTTTCGCTGTTACCATAATCCAACTATTATAGAAGATGAACGTTTGGTATTGGAACAGGCTAGATTTAGAAATGGAGGTCTTCATCAATGGAGGAAACCCTAAGAGCAGACAAAGAGTCTTTGGGAGCAGACAAAGAGTCTTTGGGGCAGCGAGGAGGCTGCCAAATATATATATATATAGATATTAGTTAGGGAGTCTTGGGAAGGTTGTAACGCGTGAAAAGAAACAAGTGGAGTGCAAGAAAGGCTTACAAGTTTAAGCCATGCACTTCACACCCTTGGTCTTCGAAGGTCCGGCAGCAGTTTCAGAAAGGTTTCAAGGTTAGGCCTTTGCTTAGGGTTTCGATGCCCGCACGTCATTCCCTGGTAATTTAACCAACTTATTAAAAGGTATCCTTGTATATTGTAAGTTATATATATATATTATATATATATATATATATATTATATATATCTTACAAGATATAAAAGTACCAAGCTCAAGTACTGTAGCAATTTGTGGTCCGGTTATTGCGGTAATTTTCATCAATTTGAGGGCCCTTTGGTTACGGTGGTGCCAATAACTATTGTTCATTTGTTGGTAATTGAATGGAGCCAATAACTATTCTTCATTTGTTGGTGATTGGCTGATTGCATGGAGCCACATTAGACCGGTTATTGGTGTAATATTGACCATTTCAAGGAACTAATCGTTCCTAATTACAATTAGAAATATATGATATAAAATCAAATAGGTGTAATATTAGCCACACTAGACCGGTTATTGGTGTAATATTGGCCAATTCAAGGAACTAATCGTTCCTAATTACAATTATAGTGTTAAAAAAATCAAAATTTCAATTCAAAATGAAAAATTTAACTAATTTAACTATACTTAAACTATTGACTAGCTAACTAATTTAACTATAATAAAATCAAAATTTGAATTCAAAATGAAAATTTTAACTAAATTAACTATGCTAAACTAAAACTATTGACTAGCTAATAGTAGATGATAATTAGAATTTAATTGAGTGTTGACTAGCTAATTAGAATTTAATTAGAATTTAACTAATTTAACTATACTAAAACTGATGACTAGCTAACTAATTTAACTATAATAAAATCAAATTTTGAATTCAAAATGAAAAATTTAACTAATTTAACTATACTAAAACTATTGACTAGCTAATAGTAGATTATTGGTGTAATATTGACCATTTCAAGGAACTAATCGTTCCTAATTACAATTAGAAATATATGATATAAAATCAAATAGGTGTAATATTAGCCACACTAGACCGATTATTGGTGTAATATTGGCCAATTCAAGGAACTAATCGTTCCTAATTACAATTATAGTGTTAAAAAAATCAAAATTTCAATTCAAAATGAAAAATTTAACTAATTTAACTATACTTAAACTATTGACTAGCTAACTAATTTAACTATAATAAAATCAAAATTTGAATTCAAAATGAAAATTTTAACTAAATTAACTATGCTAAACTAAAACTATTGACTAGCTAATAGTAGATGATAATTAGAATTTAATTGAGTGTTGACTAGCTAATTAGAATTTAATTAGAATTTAACTAATTTAACTATACTAAAACTGATGACTAGCTAACTAATTTAACTATAATAAAATCAAATTTTGAATTCAAAATGAAAAATTTAACTAATTTAACTATACTAAAACTATTGACTAGCTAATAGTAGATGATAATTAGAATTCAATTGATTGTTAAAAAAAATCAGAATTTAACTATACTAACTTAGTTACTACCTAAGTTATTATATGAGCCTAAAAATTAGGATAACTCATAAAAAAAATTATAACATATCAACGGAACAATAAAAAATAAAACAAAATAATCCTTTCCAAATTATCAACAAAAACCATTTAGGCATGACAAACCTAATACAATTAATTATCTCCCCTATAAGTATATTTACTCTAGATTCAATAACACGTATATCATTATTATAGACAAATATTCGCACCACGTGCACATGAATTTCCATTTGGATACCATTACATGCATTGCATTATAAACAGAACCCTAAAATTATACATGCTAAGCTTAAACCTAGCCATTGCCTTTTAGTGGGGCTTGTTGAATCGGGTGCATGTGAGTGGGTGCTGTTGTCGGTGATTGCGTGGCGCTATATTGTGTATATGATGCGTTGAGTCATTGTCCAGCTGGCTGCTGCATGGTACGTTTGGTCATTGTTGAGCAAATGTTGGATTGATCCGAGGTCGCCGGGTGACTGTGATGTCAGTTTTAACTCTGTTGTTTTTCGCGTTCGGTTAGGCTATAGGGAGCTTTCTTCTCTTCTTTCTTTCTGGTTCTCTTCTATTTATTAGTTTTTTATTTTTTCTTTTGTATGTGTTGCCCCATAATAACTAAACCCTGTCACGCCATTGCATCAGTATTACCATACAACACTCTTCTCATAAATAACACCAAAATTATATATACATGTTAAACACAAACCTGGAACATGTTAGTATATATATATAAGGAACATGTTATCGGTGAAAATGTTAGGAGCAAGTTCCAGTAAATAAAAAAGGCAAAAGATCATTCATCAATTGGATTTTTTTTATACTGCTGAACTAGAAATAGAAATACATCGCTTGCAGCTATTGTATGGGATGTAAGCATGAATCGTGATTGCGAAAACTTGGATAATCAGAGAGAGAGAGAGAGAGGGAGAGAGAGAGGGGGGAAGGAAAAAAGGAATAGAACCATTTGTACAAAAAGAAAATTTCATCTTCTTTTTTTATTTCTTTCTTCTTTGTATACATAGGTTTCCTACGCTGGAAAAGTGCTTAAATTATCAGATCCAATTTGTTTTACTTGTGTCTAATGTTCTTGTCCTTCTACCACCGTCACACAAATGATGAAAGGGAATAAAGATTAAGAGACAAAAGAGCAAGGAAAAGAAGAACATATGTTGTCAAAAAATAAGTTTAATACTACCATGATATTTATTTATATTAATAATATATATAAACAGAGCCTTTGAAGGTCTTGGATTCTTTGGAAACGGTGGAAACACGCCAGACTGGGAACAGGTAAGGAATGCAAAAAATGTGAGGCCACGCGCGGTAGGCTGCCAATTCGAAACCCCGCACTCACGCTCGGCCGGGCCCCCAAAATGAAAGTTTTTCTTGTCATGTTACCAGGAGCACCGGTACAATGAATCCAGTTTTACCCGGCTGTGCAGTGTGCACAATGCAAAACCAATAAGGAACAAAGGATTGGGTGGTGGGGAAAATAACCCGTCAGCCCGCTGACCCGGGACCCACCTCCAATCCGTTCCAAAAATTAAAGGTACCTGATCCATGCCGGACCATCCCGGTATATATAGATTTCTAATTTTTATCAATAACTCGCTCCACTCCAGAACAATGCCATGACCCGGTTGAGAGCCTTCCATGCGGATTCCTTCAAAGATAAAGAGATTGAACCTTCTCGAACTCTTTCTTTTTAAGAACCAAAAAGATTTTTGCCAAAATAACAGATGCCAAGAAGAACAAAAGGCCTTGGACACGTAATGGACCTACAAGATATTTTTATTTATATATTAACAAAATATTACTTTTAGCACATACTAAGTAATTTCATTGAATAAATTGTAATTCAAACATATGAGACTATAATCCATTTACAATATTCATTTGTAAAGATTATAATCCCTTTTTTTAAAGAGTTTAATTGATGTAAAATATGTCAAAAAAAGGCAATGATTATTACAATGTTTAATGATTTTGGATTCTTCTATTTTCTTCTTTTTCTTTTATTCTTTGTGGATGTTTGTTTCTACACATGAGACTTTGTTTGAGATAATTTATGTTGAGTCTTAGATGAACATATAAATACAAAATTCAATTAATATAAATCACATGGAAGTGAGAAAAAAAATCTAATCCAACAATAAGGATGAACTCAAATCCCTTGCAAGGGGTGCAATAAATAAACGTGTTAATTTCAATAAATCCCTTTGAAGTCACTTCTTCGCTTGCCCTCTGGAAAGTTCAATTGAAATACATAAATTCAATTAAAAAATTTGAAATAGTGTCAGTTACAACTAATCCTATGACAACTCAAATTTAAAATTTAAAATTTTCTTTCCCACTTCAAATGAGTGATTAATAAATCATTTATAGTCTGTTTTCAGACTTTGACCACTTTTTCCTTCTATGAGTAAAGAAAATAAATTTGGATAATTTGATTAGTCCCATATTCAAATCATTCCCCTATTACAATTTTATCACTTTAGCCCATTTTTTTCCGTGATTAATAAAGATTGATTTGTCAAATCTAAAGAATAATGTGATTAGTCCCTTTTTTAATCATTTATATAGTAACATTTTTAGCACTTTCACTCTAGGTACATACATAGATTTGTCAAACATTCAGATAACATATCCAATTATAACTATTCTTTAACCATTTTGCCTATTGCAACTAAATTAATTTTTTTAGCCTTAAACTTATCTTATTAGATGATTTATTCCAACCAATGAAATAAACATTCTGACATACAACATCATCTAGCTAATTTTTGACATGCGCAAAACTACATCTGGATAATTTTGCATATAACGTGTACATCAGAAAGTGCACATAAAACAAAATTTTTATATGAATTTTAAATTAATAAAAGGGAAATTTATATGGTTGTTTTTTTTTTTGGAGTGTTTATCAAAAATTTTAAAACGAATATTTGTTAAAACAATATCCAGGGTGATCATCACAAAAAATAGTAGTATTTATAACTCTTTATTTGAAAAAAAAAACACTTGAAAAGTGAGATGATGAGTCCTAAATAATAAAAGTAACAAAAAGATTGGAGTATAGGGTTGGAAAGGGTAAAAGAAAGGTATTGAATCCTAAACAATAAAAGGAGTATAAATATAGGAATATAGGATTGGGGAGGGTAAAGTCAAGAGAGGTGTAATTGTGGGTTGGGATGAAATTGTTAAAATGGGTGATTTATATGGATCAAATAGATATAGTTTTACGGATTAATCTTTCCTACAATAATAGTATATACACCGTCAACATTGGATGAATGACAATTATGTAAAATTTAAATTTGAAATTCAACTTTTGCACACATATCATGAATCTAACGGTAATAGTGCATACACTGTCAGTGTATATAAAATTTACTCATTATTTTACATGATTTTGGTTATCTTACCCATTTACAATCCACTATAAAATTTTATTTATTTTTTCTCCTATATTCTTTGAATAACAAAATAAGATATCATTGTAATCAACAAAAATAAGAACACATTGCATTAATAAATAAATATTTTTACCTAAAAATAAAAAAAATTACACAGAAGAACCAATAGTGGT